GATCTGAGTAAATGGTTATGGTTTATTGCGTGTTTCAGTTTATCGTTGCAGTATATGAAAGTATTGGAATGAGACTTTAGCTGATAAGAGGTTTTCTATCGCTATTTGGTGTTATAGGCAGCTGCTGTGAATAGAAGTTATTGCTGCGAGCGTTAGAGTTATATGGTATATCATGGGATTGCTCCCGAGGTTGCAGGCATGGGTTACTACAGCTAGTTCGGGTCTATTCAGAGTATAGGTGTGAGGTTTTGATTGTATTGATGGTTTCAGAAATGAAAAGGTGGTTCTATGGCTTATGGGCCTGATTGGATTGTGCAATTTCAGTTGCAATGTGTTATCGGACCTATGTAAGATAGGGTGACGTGGGGTCATCCCCGGGCATATGCATGGTAAGGTTATTCAGCTAGGGGTTGGCTTCTAGAACAACTCTGGGTACGTTCGAGGACGGACGTGTGTTTAAGTGGGGGAGGATGTAACGACCCGACCGGTCGTTTTGAGCTTTTGCACTTTGATCGCCAGCTCTCGGGCATGACTTGCCCCGTATGATGTATTATGACTGATGTAGATCGTTGGTTCTGGTTTTTACGGAAATCGGTATGAATTTGAAAGAACAGTCTCAGTTGAAAGCTTTGAATTTGAAAGGTTTGACCAAGAGTTGACTTATTTGTATATGAGCTCGGATCGGAATTTTTATGATTTGGTTAGCTTCGTTGCGTGATTTATGACTTAGGAGAGTGATCGGAATTGGTTTCGGAGGTCCGGCGTCGAATTAGGCTTGAATTGGCGAAGTTAGTATTTCGGCGTATTCCGGTTGATAGGCGAGATTTTGATATAGGGGTCGGAATGGAATTCCGAGAGTTGCAGTAGCTCCGTTATGTCATTTGGGATGTGCGTGCAAAGTTTCAGATCATTCGGACGAGGTTTTGGTAGACGTTTTGATCGAAAATGTGTTTCTAGAGTTTTTGAAATTTTTAAGGTTGAATCCGATGAAAATTTTGTGTTTTAATTTTGTTTTGAGCGTTCCGAAGATTGGAACAAGTTTGAATGATGTTTTAGGATTGGTTGGCATGTTTGGTTGAGGTCCCGGGGGGCCTCGGGTGAGTTTCGGGGTGGTTCCGGACCATTTCTAAGCTATTTTTAGCTGCTGCTTTTTGGCTACAGCAGTGTTCTATGCGATCGCGGGAAATGGGACGCGATCGCGATGAGTAAAATGCGAAAAAATTGTCAGTGCTTCGCGATCGCGTGCAGTGCTTCACGATCACGAAGAACAAATATTCTGTTTCGTTGATCCCACTTTGAAAGCTTATATCTCACAACCTATAAGGAATTTGGATATTATCCAAATATGAAAATGTAGCCCTTTGTCTCTAGTTTTCAGAAATGTAAATTAATTGGAATTTCAAGTTGGGTACAAAATGTTATGGCAGTTACACTATAGGCTGTCCGGGAAGGTCTCTAATACACAGGGCTGACTTTGGAAGAATATATATCGCAATGTATAAGGAGTCAGGAAATGAGCAACATATGCAATTATAGCTCTTTGTGTCTAGTTTTCAGAACATCAAACCATTTGTCATTTGGAGTTGTGTGCAAAAAGTTATGACCATTATACTGGAGGCTGTCCGGAAGAGCTGGGAATTGTTCTTCACGATCGCAAAGCATTGTCCGCGATCGCGAAGGGCAAATTATGGGTTGAGAAAAGTTGTTCTTCGCGATCGCGAAGCATTTTCCGCGATTGCGAAGAGTAAATACCTGGGCAGAAGCTTTATTTCATGGTTTCGGCCATTTTTATCATTTTTGGACCAAGGGAGCTCGGGTGAGGCGATTTTTCGAGAGATTTTCAAGGAAAACATCGGGGTAAGTGTTCTTAACTCAATTTTGGTTAGATTACTCGAATCCATTGTTATTCTTAACATGTAATTGGTGATTTTAAGTTGGAAAAGTATGAAAACCCTCTTGGATATATTTGAGGATTTGAGGGTCGAAATGTTATCGGAAATTAGTAATTTTGGTATGGTTAGACTCGTGGTTGAATGGGTTGTTGGATTTTGTGAGTTTCGTCGGATTTTGAGACGTGGGCCCCACGGGCAATTTTGAGTTAAATTTTGAATTTTGTTGGAAAATTAGTATTTTCATATGGAATCAATTCCTATAACTAGTATTGACTGAATTGAATTAACTGTGACTAGATTCGGGTCGATTCAAGGGGCAATGACATTTCGGAGTAGGATTTTGCTCGGATTGAGGTAAGTAATGATTGTAAATGCTGTTCTGAGGGTTTGA